TTTAGAACATTTATGGGCGAACAAATGTTTTTGTAGGTTTGGAGGCCAACGATCTTGGCTATCTTGACCTTGAGGTCAAATTTAAAGGTTATTAGAAGGTTAAAGTGATTTTTTTAATGAAAAACCTTACTTTAACGCTAATCTTACTTTTAGCGTTATCCAGAAACAACGACGTGGACGTAGTAAGTTCTGTTTCCTTTGGGGTGCTTGTTTACCGTGAGTCCCCTTGTCTCTCACGATTGGGATGCTTGTTTACCGTGAGTCCCCTTGCCTCTCACGATTGGGGTGCTTGTTTACCGTGAGTTCCCTTGCCTCTCAAGATTGGGGTGCTTGTTTACCGTCAGTCCCCTTGCCTCTGACTTTAACCATATTAAAGCAAGTGTTCAAAGTTGCCTCCATTAGCTTCAAGACACAAATGTACGCGCCTTTTGAAATGTTGCACTGTCCTTAGCAAAGTTTCCCCTGGGATTGCAACGCAGGCTCGACGAATACGGTCTATCATGTCTTCTCTGGTTGTTGGCCGTTGTGTAAAACCAACATCTTTTAAGAAGTCCCATAAATACCAGACATGACATCTCCCGATTTCTATTTATGGGGCTTCTTAAGAGATGTTGGTTTTACACAACGGCCAGAGGCAAGGGGACTCATGGTAAACAAGCACTCCAATCGTGAGAGGCAAGGGGACTCACGGTAAACAAGCACTCCAAAGGAAACAGAACTTACTACGTCCACGTCGTTGTTTCTGGGTATCGCTAAAAATAAGATAAGCGAGGAAAGTAAGGTTTTTCATAAAAAAGGTCACTTTAACCTTCTAATAACCTTTAAATTTGACCTCAAGATCAAGATAGCCAAGGTCGTTAGCCTCCAAACCTACAAAAACATTTGTTCGCCCATAAATGTTCTAAAGTTTGAAGAAAACAGCTTCTGGACGATTTTTCAACATTTGACCATCTGAAGGTCACTTTAGCAAATTATCAAACTATCATTTCTGACGTAAAATTTCCCGCTCTTTCTGAATCCGGTGTCGAAAATAGAGGTTCTCATTTAAAAAAATTATTTTGACCTTCAAATAACCTTAAAAATTGACCTTAAGGTCAAAACCAATAATACAGAAAGATGACCCCCATTGTTCTGAACAACTTTTGTTTAAACAATTTTTTTGTATAGCGCTTACTTTTGGAGATATTTGGGTGGATCGATTAAAATGGCCCACCCTGTATATTACTACAAATCGTGCTGTATGGTATATTGCGTATATTACATTATTAAAAATAAAAATTGTATAAACTATGCCAATTATAAAGTTACATGAAGGAGACACTGATTGTGGAAGAATGATTCATAATCTAGAAGTTTCCGAAGAGGATGCTATTATCTTCATCATAAATATAAGTAAGCGATTCTAAAAAAAACACAGCGCACGTTAGCATGACTTTCATTTTATCCATAATTGCAAAATTCGTACTACGCTTCAAAACGCTTCAAAAATTGGTCCATTTGCATACTGTTGGCAGCATTAGAAGTGCTAATGGACCGTTCTATAGAAGCATATGAAAGTGAAAACGTTTGAAGCGTTTGTAGCGTCAAATGGACCGCACCCAAAACCTAGAGTCCAAATGAGAAATTGATATATATTTCGTTTGCTAGTTTAACCATCAATTACGACGCTACATGAAATACACTACAATTTACATTAACGCGAAGAAATTTTTTATCAAATTGTGTGCTAATTCTTCTATGTGTCATGTTGTATTTTACAATCTTGTTTAATACGTGATTCGCAAATACTGTTGGACATTTTTCAAAACAAAAAACAGAATCTTAGTGATTTTTATATGTCAATTACATTTTGTAATAAAGTAAATTTTTGTTAAAAATTCTTAAACGGTTACCACGTATTCGTGAAACATAACCTTGAATAGAAGAGAGACCAAAATACGATATGACAAAAAATTTTTTTGTTAACAAGTCTTGGAATGTATGAACACGACCAATGCTAACTAGAATGTGGCGAAATGCGCAAAAAGAACAGATATTACGTTATATGAGGAAAAGAGAGGGAAACCAACTAGAGGGGATAAAGGACTATTATTGAGGAGAGGGAACTTTACCAGGTACGTAAATATGAAACCGGAATTTACCAACAGATGGTCATAGCTGTCAATGTAGTTGCCGTCAGATCGCGTCATTGACGCCATTTCCTTGTTCTGACATCTGACAAAGATTTTCAACTCACAACAATACAAGTTTCATACAACAGTATAGTTTACAATAGCGTTGAACATGTCGAAATTTGTGCCTGGAAACTACGATGTGCGGACAGCATTGATTTTCTGTTACCATTTGAAAAAAACTGCTGCAGAATCGCATCGAATGCTTGTCGAAGCTTACGGTGAGCATGCTCTTGGTAAATCAC